ATTTTAATTGTTAATTACACATTTAAATGGAAATCATAGTTCAGTGCAGGCCATGATACATTATCTCTTGCTTGTATATTTATTCTTCCATGTTTTGAAACTGTGTCGTATCTATTATATTTGTTCTATAATTTTTATATAGCTCAATAATGATCACTTGGCACAATTCACTTCTTTATTTCAATTCTGTTGAAATAAAGAAGTGAATTGTGCCAAGTGATCATTATTGTGCTATATAATGCTTATAGAACAAAAAAAAAAAAATTGCATATTTATATTACAGCACATGAGTTTATGCTCTGTGTCACTTAACTTCACTTAACAACTTGGACTTCAAAATTATATATTTTTGAAGTTATTATAACTGGACCAATTTTGATAATATATATATATATATATACAGTAATAAAATTGATAGAATCATGTCCGCACCCAGAATAACACTATAACTTGAGTTCGTCATAACAGCATTGAAAGCTTGCCGACCCCTGCTCTAGATCAATGAGGCATATTTCATCTTAACTGGGCAGCTAAATGTGAACAAATTCAATGCACAGTAGTCATTTTCATTGAACTATGTCCATTGGTCTGACACCAATTTCCGTGACATGCCAATGCCACTACACATAGCAAAAGTGGCAGCTGATTTTCTCCTGGTACCACTGTTTTTCAAAAACCTGTCACCCACATATGTACCATCACAGCCACAAGCTATGCATTAATGCTGTCCATGCACTTGATTCCAGAGTTGTTGGCATGTAATACTTTGCAGAAAGTGAAGATAAAGTCTCTTTTTTTCACTTTCAATACACAGGGCAGTAAAAAGTTCATAATAACTTTGCTTTTTCATTTTTTTAATGAATTTTTATTGTATTGAAATGCAGTTTGCACTAAAATATTCCCATGATAGGGATTTTTTTGTTTGACAGAAAAAATTGTTCTTTGAATACCTTTGGTGCCTTTTATTGGAAACTTCCATTCATAAGGCAATGAAAATGACTACTGTGCATTGAATTTGTTTATTGCATCAGCAACTCTATAACAAGTTTTTGCAATGCCCTCCACCACAAGGTATAAAACAATTGAAGCAAAAGTAAAATTTTTCCAAATCAATGCAATTTTGACAAAATATTTTAATCAAATTGCACAAATAAAAACTTTCTAATGATTGTGTTATCCAAAAACCTTTTTTTGAACTTTAACGATGATCAAATTCATTGTGTAAGACCTCATTTATTAGTGTCTTGGTGCTGATTCAGCAATAAAAATCCGCATAATCTGAACAGCTCTTTTTATAAGTTCTTTTCTACCACGTGTCATAAAATCTACGGGTTTTGAAAAACCGCAGAATGCAAACCCTTTGTCCCAGTCATGAGACAGTTAAAAGTTTTCTGCTAGTGTGGAATTAGTTTTATGGACAGCAGCTGCCTTAAACAGGCTGCTGTGTCTTGAAGTGGGCGGGACTTCGCGTGTAGCTCTACCGCTAGATATTGCTGCCATGCCATGAAGTATATTCTTACCTCTGCATGTAGCACTTCTCAAGCAACAGAGGGTTGAGGTGGACGATGAGTGTCATTAGTAAGTCTAGCCTTAGATGACTTCTTGAAGGGTTGAAAGAACAGAAAGGTGAGTCGGGCAATAGCATGCATTTGAGTTAAAATAACTCGAATGTAAGATTAATTTCGTTCAGGAAAAGTAAGTTGGCCTTATTATTTATATTTTATGCATCTNGTAAAATTTTTTACTTTGGGAATGTTAAAATGTTAAATTATTCATAATATTCTAATTAATTAAATAAACTCAAAATGTTACTCAAAATATTAACAAAATAAACTCAAAATTAATTAAATAAACTGTTATGAGTGACAGTAAACAAATGTCTCAATATCACTTCTCTAGTTTCTTATTGTTTATACATCATAAGTAGAATCTGCTTAACCTGACACAGGCCACTGTAAGTAGCAAAAAATGTTTTGTTTTTTAAACAGTAAATGCTGGAAATTACGAGGAAGGTGTAAAATTTTGTGTTTATAAAATATAGTTATTACCTCCTAAAGCTGGAACTAAGTACAGTGGGTGATCAGTTAACGAACAAATTGGATAATGAACACTTTCGAGAAAGATTTTTATGTTCGGACAACAAACATATGATCGGATAACGAACACCCCACAGAACAAACACAGAAGAAGCGATGTAAAATAATGAATACCGATTGGTCTTCCCTTGTCTTCGAGCAACAATTCGAAACTTTTCAGAGTGCGGGAGACGTCGACATCGATGCTCAACCCGGTATATACCGAATGGATAGTATTCCTCCGAACTTTGAAACTCTACCTTGAAATTCCAGCCTTTTATTTTTCTGACAAAAACAATTATTTTATGTATTCACGAGACTGTCGGGTAGGCACTCATTAAGTTTTGCATCTGTTTTTTTTTTTGAAAGGTGAGAGTATAATAGCAAAGGTAGAGAGTGGGCAGAAGATGCCTAAAGTTGCTGGGCAGTATGGCGTGAATAGGTCTACAGTAGGCCGGAGTTCAATCTTATTTAAGAAAGATACTGTATAATCAAGAAGACTCAAGCAGCTAACACAGTAACAAAAATCACATCTGAGAAATAAAGAACATTGAAGAGTTCATAATGGAACCTGAAATGGATCTGACAACAGAATAATGCCAAGAAACTCGGCGAGATATGTTTTCTTCTGAAAAAGAGGATTAATGCTGATATCTGCTATTAAAGATCTTTTGAAGAAATGGGAGGATGTCAGAACAACGGTCTTAAAAACGGTCTTAATGCATCCAAACTAGGTCGAGGCTTGGGGATTTCTACAATTACAATGCTATTAATTATATCTGAAAAAATCCTGAAGAAGAGAGAAAAGCAATCGACATTAGACAGATTCTTTAATCCTTTCAAACGGAAAAAACATGACTAATAAAAACGCAAGACTGTGTATGTATGCATTTTTATTATTACAATAAATAAATGTAGTAAGAAAGTATATATTTTTTATTTTTGGGGGTCTCCAAAATTCATTAAATTCCCATTAAAACCTATGGTAAATCGATAATCGGTTAACGAACAATTCGGATAGCGAATAGAGTCTTGGAACAGATTATGTTCATTAATCAATCACCCACTGTATTTTCCCTTTTCATAACTAATAAAACAAGTAAAGATACATTAAAGTTATAAAATAAGAATAATAAAATTGTAAACTATAATGTAATTAATTATTTCAGTTTTATAAACAAACTTTATATTTTAAACAATTCCAAAAACAAAATTTTAAGGAATATAAAATACACATTTTTAATAAAAAGTAAAATGTGTAAACCCATGTAATTTACAATTTTTTATCTAATGTAAAAATTATATTGATTTAAAAATAGGTTTACTCACAGAGATTAACTAGCAATCTTGTAATTTGCAGTCAAGCACATGAGTATGCTTTCCAAAATCTTTCGATGATGATTCCCAAGTCCCTTGGGATTTTTTAATTTTAATTTTCTTGAAAATATTTCAGAAGCACACTTTCTTCCCTTTGCTCAATAAAGGCTCATACCAAGGTTTATCCACACAAACAATATCATTAAAAGCTGTGATGACCATATTGTGAGCTCTCCTTGTTAGCTGTTTTTACTGATAGGCACTTAGCCTTATAGAATACAATATTAGAAAAGTCAGAATATTCACATAAAAATTCCTCTTTTAAAAAATATCACAAAATACTTTTTCTTCTTAAACTTTATGCTCTATAGATATAAAGAAACCTTTTAAAGTCATTTCTTCAATATTGGGGGAACCATGAACTATTGCACATGTAATTAAAGGGGAGGGGATTTGCCAAAAGTACACTGTTGTACATGAAAGGGAGTAAGAGGTTCAAAAACTGTAAATGCATTTAATGGACAGCCCATAAGCAGGGGCTGCTTTGAATAGTGCCAAAACCATCACCTGGCAGTATTTTTATTAAAGTGGCGATAAAAACTCTATTCTGCTTGTTTTGACATTCGGCATGAAATTGAGTCAAAAATCACACTTCAGGAAAAACAACAGAATGTCAAGCTTCCATGCAATAAGAGGAGTCCGATGACATAATGTGGTAAATTCAGGCAGAAAGGTAGGAAGTGACATTGAGAAGCAAAGGCAGTTTTGTGCAATGCCACCCAGCATTTCCAAATTGAGGATTTTTTGTGGGTAACTTTTTTCACTTTGATTCTTTTTCAGCAGACTAAAATAAAACAGTATTTCACAAGTTCTGAACTTGTGCTGTTTAAACATTATGATAAAATGTGTTATTTGGAATTATTCCTATTTCTAAATGATAGCTTAACACATTATTTTTGCTTTCCTTACTCCAAAATGATACTAATTAATAATGCAAGTGTATGTATTCATAAGTAAAACTAGTGGCAATAGATAATTTGAAGTAGCCCAAAAAAAATTTTTTTTTTAAACTGACAAAATGGTTGGTGATATTTTTAAATTTTCCAGAGTGATCCCAATATAAATTGCTTTTTATTTGGACTATTCTAATGAAACTACTCTAATTCTAAGCTTATTAGCATCAAATATATGCAACAGAATCAACTCTAATTCTCCTCCAGCATTACTGCTCTATATGAAGCCTTAATATGAAAAAAATTTTATAATTTATGTAAAAATTTCAAANTATTTGAGGATTCCTATAACGCGAAATTCTTATAAAGCGGAACGTATCTACCGCGTTATAGGGGGGGGGTCTACTGTAGTGTCATGGGTAACTTTTTAAACTTTAATATGTTTCTTTTTTTTTTTAAACTGTCTTATTTAATGCAAAGAAAATGTTATAATTATTTAAATATGAATATGTAAGTTTTGCTCCATTCATTCTGAAGTTTCTTTTGAATGCTCTCCATAAGATTTTTGACAGTACGTCCTTCTACTGTAGTGTCATGGGTAACTTTTTAAACTTTAATATGTTTCTTTTTTTTTTTAAACTGTCTTATTTAATGCAAAATAAATGTTATAATTATTTAAATCTGAATATGTAAGTTTTGCTCCATTCATTCTGAAGTTTCTTTTGAATGCTCTCCATAAGATTTTTGACAGTACGTCCTTCAATCATTGTGACTGCTCTTTTCTACTTCAGAGAAAAACTTTTAATGTCTTTTTCAGTTTTGTTCTGTTTTTTACAAAACATCAAAATCTTTCTATTGGTTGGCATTGTAGTATGTTTGGTGGATGTGTCTTGAGGTACAAAATTGATTCTGTGCCATTCCAGCCAACTTACTGTGAATTTTATATAGTGTATTGTTGCCAAATCTGGCCAAAACTAAGTATGGCCATTGCAATTTCTTTAAAAAATCATCTTCCTTTTTTAACATTCATTAATATAAATTTCAGCACTAATATTTCCTTTTGTTACAAATGACAAACTTTCAATCCATGCTGGCAAATTGCTTGTCATACCAGATATTCTGAGCCAAACTTTTCAACACCAATCAATGTTTGAGTTTCTAGAACTTCTCCTTCAAACATTGTATAATAGCACGAGCCTGGAGCCTTCACATATGTTTCATCATCTGCTTAGTTCTGAATTTCCAATTTGATTTATTCAATTGCCTGAAGATAATAAGATTAATTAATTATAACACATAAAATAAAAGTAATAAATATCAGCTTGTACTTTTGATAGGTTAAAAAGCCTAACATCTAAAAGACAGAAATTTCCTCTTTTTTATATTGATAATTTTGATAAACTTCTTAAACTTTCATAATCAAAATTTTAACAAATGTATACTCAATTGTAAAATCAATTGTTTCTAAGTACAATAGAAAAATTTTTATCATACATACATAACCAAATTCAAACCTTAACCAAATATCTAAAAGCCAGATTTTTGGGATGTAATTACATTGGATTATTTGTGTTTTTATGAACTACAGAGGTTCTGTATCTTCACAAAATTGGTTTGTTATCTCGATTAGCCACAGATTAGAGGAGTCACCTGATTATATTGAACATATAGATAAAATTAATCATGCTTTCTATTTATCAGATGACTGAAAAAACTGCATGCAATTTTTTGATATTATTTTAATGAAAATTACACAGGCAAAGTTGCAGTTATGTGCATGCATTGATACACTGCCAATAACATGTCATGCTGAATTGGGTGACATCAAGAAGGCATGAAAGGCAGTTCTTGAAACAGTGAAGAGTAAAGAAAAGATGGCTACTTCGACTGCTGTTATTTGAGGGTGGTTGGTTACTCTATGAGTTTAAACTGGGCACTAATGAAATGCAAGCAAGATATGTAGATCATTTGGAGAGAACATGGCCCAAAAGTGGTTCAGAATATTTGCACTGGATGATGAGTCTCTTGAAGATGTATCTCATGAGGGAAGACTGCACATCATTGATGAAGATGAACTGAATCATTCGCACTAGCATCACCTAGGAAAAGCCTGAAAACTAAGTACAGTAGATCCCCCTATAAGACGGTAGATACGTTCCGTTCTTTATGAATCAATTTTGTAGGAATCATAGTTTACGGACTACGGCTGTTTGAAAGGTTTTCTTTCATAAAATTAATCGATTCTAGACTAATTCGACTCAACATTTCCAAAATACGTATATTTTTTAAAAAATAATCCGTATAAACTACGTTATAAACAAAAAATTGTAGGATTACTTACCGAGTGTGTACCCTTTGACTACGCTCGTTGCTAAAGCTTGGTTTCGTCGCGGAACAGCGCATCAAATTGCGGCCGCGATTTCTGATATTATTTTTCTGCGAAAACTTCGTTGACCTTTGGAGACATCATTAATATAAATAATTTTTATGGCCGTTAAATAAGAAATGTTTCTTTCACAAGAAATGTATAAAATTACAGTACTAAACAGACGATAGGTCGCCTAACTCGCCGTAGCGTGACGCTAGACGGCGAAAAATATATATTTAATTATAATAAAGTTACAATAAATTAAGTTAATATATAATTATATATACAGTACCTAATTTATATATAATTAATATATAATTAAATGTACAGTACCTAATTTATATATAATTTATATAATACTGTCCAGACGATAGAAATCTCTCCGTAGCGTGGCGCTACGGACGGCGGGTAAGTAGTTCGGCTGCCCGATGACGTTTTACGTATTATAGGAGTTATTTTTACCGTTGTTTACGGATAATGCCACAATTTTTATAGGAATCATAACTATAGGAAACGCTTTTATAGGGGGATCTACTGTAAATGGGTTTCACATGAACGAAGTGCCAATAATCTCCAGAGGTTCATGATCTGTTGTCACTGTTTTCATGACACAATAATGAACCATTTTTGGACTGGTTGTTGATGTGTGATGAAAAATAAATTACATGTTACAACACCGAACATTCCCATCATTGGATATTGTCCAATGAATCTCTACTACATACAACAAAGCCTGACATCCTTCAAAAAAACTTTGTTATGTGTCTGATGCACTACAGCTGGAATCATTCAATATGCTTCTTCTCCCTGGCCAAACAATCACTGCAGATGTATACTCAGCACAACTACAGTGAGTTCAAGATGCACTGCTGCAAAAAAGCCTATACTTATTAGTTGCAAAAGTGCCGTATTCTTTCAGGACAATGTTCAATCTTACACAGCATGAGAGACCTGAGACAAGTTCCATAGTCTTGGTTGGGGGGAAATTTATCCCAACCTCCACATTCACCAGACATATCACCATCAGCACAATCATATGTGCAACTGACAGTTCTGAAACAGAACAGCACTGGAAATGGAGGTGAAGATTTCTTCACTTTTATAGATCAGGACATTTTTGGAATAATATTTATAAACTTGTATCTTGTTGGGAAAAGGTTGTAGATTATGATGTTGCTTACTTTACTGAATAAAATATTTTCATTCACTTTTTACATACATTTTAATTTTAACCTCAAAAACCACATAAACTTTTTGGTCACCTGATGATATAATGATTTATGCATTTTTGAAGAAATATAAGAAATATATACAGATTGTTTTTTTTTAACTGAAGGTACTCAGAAACATCTGTAGAGCAATCTAACAGCCAAACTGTTGCCAAATTTGGGAGAGTGACTAAGAACGACATGGGAAAGAAATTCTGCAAAGGAAAAAAGTAGTAATTTACCAGTAGGGGTGGCTTTGGCGCAGCTGTAGCAAAACAGCTAAGAATTTGCATAACGCGCTGGTAACACCTCAAAATCCAAATTCACAATGACGTGGTCGACAGCAGTGCCACCTAATTGGAGCTTAAAAGACAAGGACAAAAGTCCAAAGCGCATTCCAGACTTCAGCAGAGTTCAACATGCATCTTTCATTACCTCAGTGTGCGTTGCTTGTGAAACTTTATTATCTTAACCAATCGAGCGCACTGGGCGCTCTTCGTGAGTTTAGAACCTGTAACAACCTGTTCAGAGGTCGTCTATCAATTAATGCATTGAAAGACTTGATAAAGAAATTTGAAGAGACAGGATCCTTAGCAGTTCGGCCTGGTAGAGGGCAAAAACCGGCGTCTGCACAGACAGTTAGTGATGTTGCGATTGCACTCGTTGAAGGTTCTAAACCCTGGATTTAACCCCATGTGACTTTTTCCTGTGAGGTTACTTATAATCCAAGGTCTATCTAGGTGGTGTCCCCAATTTGATGACCTTGAAGGACAACATTTCTCAAACTGTGATGAACATTCCTGCGGACATGTTATGTTCGGCCTCAGAGAACACGGTGTTCAGGATGCAATGTGTTGTCCAGCAGGATGGTGGTCACATTGAAAGAGAGAGAAGGTTATTTGCTGATTAATTAAACTTTCATTATTGCACTGAAACCTCTGTCTGATTATTCATTCATGTGTTTGTTAATTGCAACTGGGTTTTAGGCAAATTCTTAGCTGTTTCGCTACAGCAGTGCCAAATCCACCCCTACTGGCAAATTTAGGTACTACTTTTTTTCTTTGCCATGTCATCCTTAGTCACTCTCCCAAATTTGGCGACAGTCCGGCTGTTAGATTGCTCTACAAATGTCTCTGAGTACCATCAGTTTAAAAAAAAACACCCTGTATATTATAAAAAGGGCACAATTACTGTTAGCAAGACATATTGTTTAATACAGAATTATTGAAAGAAATGAATAAAATCATTCAAAACCCAAACCTTGCTAAGTTTAGTTTTAATATTATCATGTTGTTATACTATATTGTTTAGAATTACAATTTCAAGCATGACAGCTTAACTTTTTATTTGTACATATTTCTATATTAATAAATACAGTGGGTGATTGGTTAATGAACATAATCAGTTCCAAGATTTTGTTCGCTATCTGAATTGTTCATTAACCAATTATCAATTTACCATAGGTTTCTATGGAAATTTGATTAATTTGTTCTAGAGACCCCCAAAAAATAAAATATATATACTTTATTACTACATTTATTTATATGTAATAATAAAAATACATTAATAAAAATGCAAGACTGTGTATATGTCATGTTTTTTCCATTTGTGGGAGTTAAAGAATCTGTCTAATGTTGATTGCTTTTCTGTCTTCTTCATGATTTTTCAGAAGTAATTAATAGCATTGTAATTGTAGAGATCCCTAGGCCTATTAACCTCAACCTGGTTTGGATGCTATTTTAAGACCGTTGTTCTGACATCTTCCCACTTCTTCAAAAGATCTTTAATAGCAGATATCAGCATAAATCTGCTTTTTCAGAAGAAAATGTAAAAGAATTGTTTCTGTCAGAAATATAAAAGGCTGGAATTACAAGGGAGAGTTTCAAAGTTCGGGGGAATATTATCCGATTAGTATATACTGGTAGAACGTCAATGTTGACGTCTCCCACGCTCTGAAAAGTTTTGAATTGTTGCCTGAAGACAAAGGAAGACCAATCGGTACTCGTTATTTTACGTAGCTTCTTCTTGTGTTTGTTTGTTCAGTGATGTGTTCGTTGTCCAATTTGTTCGTTAACCGATCACCCACTGTATTTTCATTTGCTACAACTTATTTTAATATTCAAATTTATCAACATTTACATAGTTTTAACATTAAAGTCATGTTGATTAAAAAGTTCAATTAAATAATTGAGTAATTATAACTTTTTTTTTAAATGAGCAGTGTTCAATGTTTTTCTGTAAATTTACTTGGAAAAAAAGATTCAAACCAAGGTTCAAAATTCAGTACAGTATATATGTACAGTACTGTATATACAGAATGTGATAATCTATTCAATGCTGTTTGGACAAATATGTAGCAGTCCAAATTCAACCAAATTTTGTATGTTGACATTTCTGCACATGTTAAAAATATTTAGTTTCAAATCTCACCATTACAGGATATGTGATGATACAAGCAGCAAAAAAAATCATTTTTAAGGTGTATTCTTGGAGTATACTTGCAGCATTGGTATTGTTTTCATTAAATAACTTCATACAAAAGACATTCCATATGCTAAAAACAGTTTTACACTCAAATTGACCATAGTATGTGTGCATTATGAAATTTAGGAACTAAATATTCTTCTGGCAGAAATCTCTTCTGTGTATCCAGAAAGGTCAGAATATAAAACTTTGTTGAGTTTCAATTGCTACACGTCCCTCCAGACAGCACCAAATAGGAATACTTTAATTACAGTCACTGGCATATATTATACGGACCTCGAGCCAAATGACCCAGATAAAATAGGTGTATTTTAGAACATCAGAGGGTGAACATCCAATGAAAAATGCAAATAATCATTGAAAAAAAATAATTTTGACTAAAGGTAGATGGTTAATCTGCCATCCTAAACTGATGTTAATTTCATTAAATTTAGAATTAAAAGATTTTTTAATGAATTTAATTTAAACAAATATAAATTTTAATCCTAAAATGAAAATATAATAATAATGTATATAGAAATTTTAACTATCATAAATATATTGAGCATAGAATAATTGAAACTTACCTATTAGATAGGACAGCTCATATTTGGAATTTAATTAAACAAATTATTGAAATAGGCTTAAACCTGTAAAAATAAAAGATTTTCAATAAAATAAAATATTTTAAAAAATGCTTTATTTGTAACAATTACTTTTACATTCTATTCCTAAAATATTTCTGTTTAAAAAATAAAATAGTTTATCATCATTATTTTGTTTCTGTTACTATGTGAAATATTCTCAAAATAATGAATATTTTATGAATATTTCAACTGAAAGCTTGTAATGTGTTATTAAAAGTGCTGATCACAACAATTAACACCTAACCGCTAATTCCAGCACTGAATGAACAAAAATTTTAATCCTCGAACGTTTTCGGCCGTCTTTTAGAGTCCCCCCTCAGGATGAAACACACAAAAAACAGTTCTATCATTTGAAAACTTTTAACCGTCGAATACAGCTGCGTTCCAAATTTTTAAATATTTAAACGATGTACCGTACGATATAAAAATCGTTACGTTTACAACATAAAAATAATTATTTTAAAATAACGCTATACATAAATTATTATTATATCGTTGTAAAAATCAGCGTGATGTAAACGAATTGTTTTCTTTTACAAAGCAGAAAGATGAAAAATAATTATACATACAATTATTGTTGTGCTTTGTGGCACTGTAAATAATACTTCCACGATTGTGGAATCGGAATATAATCGGAGTTAATGCAGTTTTCCTTCATGGTTTCTATATAAATTTCAATAGCTTCCAACGAGCGTAAATCGTGTCGGTCTAAGGCCCTATGCAAAAGAGTAGCCTCATCCCAACATGGGGAAATCCCGGGTTCGGTAGCATACTGGACTAGAGCAGTACTATACTTCTGCTTCGACACATCATATTTGTGGTCCCGTACTCTAGCCTCAAGGGATCTATACGTAGATCCAATATATGTTATCCGACGATTGAAACGTTCGTCCTTGAAAGGTATGCGGTACACCCCTGGCGCTTTCTTATCATCGGACTTGTCCTTAGCATTAGACAAAAGTCGGAAAATATTTTGTTTTCTCTTATATGTTAAGCGCACGTTCAACTCCTTAGCGATTTTACTAAAAATTTGTTGAAGGGACGGTTCGTAAGATAAAACCACCCGGTTGTGCTGTGCATCGTTACCCCACGTGTTGGTGGTTGTTATTGTAGATTGCTGGTTGGCAGTTAGCCTGTCTATTAAAGACTGGTGGTACCCATGTGCCGATGCTATACGTTTGACGTGTTTTGAGTTCTCTGTAGATATCGGAAGTTTCAGAGCAGTGGGAATAAGCCCTTGAGACTAGGATCCGAAAAGCCGATACCTTAAAAGGCCAAGGGTCTGCTGAGTTAGCAGGTATAAAGAGAGACCAGTATATTGGTTTGCGATAAATGGTCGTGGTTATATTTTTATTTGCCGTATTATTGTTGCGTTTAGTATATAGTTCCAGTTTACTTGTGCGAGTTTTTTGTCTAAAAGTGCTGATGTTTTGTAAACAGAGAAATTTAATTATAATTTGGAAGAATGTTCTTATGTAATAAAGAATATATAATTTAGAATATTAAATTACATTCACTTAGATTACTTAAGAGACTGCCATTAATTTGGTATAGTTTTTGAGTCCTACATTTTAGGCAAACTCTCTCACCTTTAATTATGTATGAAATAGTTTGTGGATCCCTGACACTGAAGAAAAGTTATGCAAATATTTTCAAAACTACAGTTTATTCACATGACACTAATACCACAATAAAATTCCATGTACACAATGTTCAACCCTTCTACATCCATATTACAGTACTGTATTACAGTACATTATAATGGATCTTACAGATGTCGTATGGCTCCAGAATAAAATATTAAAATAAAAAATATAAATCAGACGGCCTGTACCCATCCAATTCTCGTTTTTTTTGTATAAAAAACAACTTTTAAAAATTATTAAATCGACACTAAATGAAAAGTAGCTTCCTTCCGAAAGCAGACGTTAATTTAGTTCCGATACGCGACACTAGATGCCTCTTCATTCGGGAAATTTTTACTACGCAATTAATTAACTTGATTTACAAAAATCGATCGTTGGCTAATATTATATTAAAACTATTATTTAGTATATAGTATAAAGATAGACGGAAACGGGTTTAAATCGCATCTGCGAATAATATCGATTATTATATTCACGTGGCCTGGCATCGAACCGATGACGTCATTCCAACAGGGAGGAGGCCGACGGTACGAATGGAAATTTTCGTTTTCGCTCTTAACCTTTTTCTTCTTTAATCGACGATGGATTCTGACGTGAAGCGTGTGTTGTGGGTCGGTAATTTGCCCGAAATGGTCACAGAAGACTTGCTTTGCGAACTTTTCACCCAGGTATTCTTCCCTTCTAATCTCCAAATTTTTGCATAGAGCCGTTATGGCGGCTCTGCACCGTTTGTTGCTTCGGAACACCGTCCGTTCGTTTTCCGTTCTATTTTTATTGCAAAGAATTGAACGAAATTGTTCTAATGGCGTAAATAAACCGATTATGTAGAAAGGGTGAGAAATATCACACAAAAACTTAACAGTCGTACTTTGAGACGAAATTAATCGAATCGGTCTTTGTTACCAATTATTCCCCGAAGATACGTTTTCGGCTAAATGTTTATTTTATTAGATAATTAACGACCCCACAAAGAATTCGAGTGTGTGGTCGTTTCTGATAAAAGAGATTGCGTATTTAAGTAACCTTGAATTTAAAAATTTATATCGAGTATGTTACATTTGTTGTTCGTTTTAGATAAAAGAACACGAAAATGGCCGATTCGAATAACTATGTACTTGAAAAACATAATTGCTTGTGTTGTTTTACGAACGGGAAATGGAGAAAATAATGGAAGAGGTGCATGCAGAGATTTGGATGATGACTTCTTTCTGGCGGGAGCTATAGATTTTGGTGACTGGTTATGTGGGGGATGATTGAAGAAGCCGCCGTATTTGAAAAATGCGGCAAAGCTGGGGAGTCTTATGCCAAGATTGCCTGCAGACTTGGTTCAAAAATGTTCCGTGGAGCCGGATGTGCCCAGAATGATGGCGCATGGGCTTGCCCATTGTAAAAATCTTATGTTTCTGCCAGAAAAGGAGGCAGTTGTCTGAATCTCTGTGGGCACCTCTTCCGTTACTTCTTTTTTTGTAAACCTGGCAATTAGCAATTGTACAATCTTTGTGGTGTGGTTATTTAAATCGATTGTTTTTTTTGTGTTTGTCCAAAGCAAATGACAAATAAAATGTGGTTAATTTTCTACGAAGGGGAATGGACTTCTGTAAGATTCTGCATATAATTTGATTTATTGTTTCAATAATTTTTGACTACAGTCCCAAAATTTGAATAATCCTGATGTTTTGTTTATCAATATATAATAGTACAGGTATACCTCGCCTTACGTCTGTAATTGGTTCCAGGAGAACGGCGTAAGTTGAATTTACTTGTCTCCAAATCTACTTGTCACTAGGCTAAACCATAAATTACCATTCCTGGTTTTGTATTTTATTTATTAATGCATTTTTAATAATATATGGTTAATAAAAATCTATTTTAAGCTTACAAACAAATAAATTTTAGTTTTTAATATAGTACAGAAAAAGTATTCTAAATTTACAAATGCATGTACTGTAAATACAGAACATACTAGTATATATTCTAATATGATTTTATGTGCTTTAAACGTTTTTCTAATGATATTACGACTTCAATATTTGTGGCGGACAGATGTAAAGTCGAATAAAATGACTTAAACTTGATATTTATTTTTCCATATACTTTTTTGACAAACAACGTATAATCGGAAACGACGTAAGTCGAGGTATAACTGTATTTGAATTTCAGAACAGTGTTTTTGAGAGATATCAAATAGGAATGTAATGATAACATTAGATGGTGTGTTTTCCGATTGAGAATTCAAACCAAATACTGTCCTAAGAAATGCTTGTATTATATGTAATACATCCTGTTGCAAGCTGATCATCATGCTTTTCACAAATAATTATAGTAATTTTCTTAAAATTTCCAATTACTAAAAAATTTTTACTTTATCAGTAAATTAAAATTTGTACTTTTAAGATTATTAGTCCAAAATTGATAAGTTATGAAAATTTCAGAATATTTCATGAGCAATAGCTCATCAAATATTCTGAATATAATGTATATTCATCGAATATACATTAACATCTTCCTTTTATTATTTTTAACTTTACATTATCATCAACTATGTCAATATTGTATGCACTATCTATAACTGATCGGTCGTGTGGCTATATAAAATGCATACTGAATTTCCTGTGCCCATGACAAACTTTAATAAAATAGTTCACTTAGCTATGATCTAGTTTTTGATATAATAAACATGTAATAATGATTACATTACACAATAACAAATTAAAATAATAATAATTATTTTCTTTAATCAACAATATATGAAAATTGTTAATTACATAAATCAATTTTTTTCTTAATTAAATATTGATTGCTATTACATTTATTAAATATAATTAAAAATAGCATGTGATTGTTAATAACAATTTTTCTTTTTGTCATCTTTATTGCATATAGGCAGGTCCAGTGGAAAGTGTAAAGATAGTAAAGGATAGAACAGGTGGTCATAGAGGCTATGCCTTTGTAACCTTCAAGCATGAAGAATCTGTACCATATACCATAGCATTGATGGAGGGTATTCGCTTATTTGGAAATGTTCTGAAACTCCAGAGACGTTCGGGAGCAGAAAATGATGATAATCCTTATTTAAAAGCCATACGTGATTATCAAGCATCACGCTGTTCTGCAAATAATGCAGAAAATCCTCAAAAGTCATACAAACAGCATACTCATGATTATAAATATAACACAGACAGAAAAACTTATGATAATTATAAGAAAACTTCTAGTAGAAACAGTGGATATAAAAATCATCAGGCTTATTCATATGAAGAAAAGGTGGGAAAAAATAAGGATTTAAGACAAAACAGAAGTTTTGATAGTAAAGAATCAAATAGTTTATCTAAGACAAATTTCACTAATTTAAATTTTGAAGAGAGCTCGATAGTCAATCAGAACATGCACGAAAAAAATACACACGTTTACGAAGAAAATAAATCAGCAACACAGCTGGAATTCAGACCAAATGTTCTGCAAGAACACACGAAGACATTCTTTCATCAAGGGGTTTTTCAACCCATACTAGTTCAGTCCTTGCCTAATTTGTTTAATATTCACTATCATCCCTACAGAGGAAACAGTTAACCAAAATTTGCATATGTTTCAAACATAGCTGTTTCAAAATTATGTTTTAACTAAAAAGTTAGTGTGTAAAATTTGTATATACACATACAAAGCATAACATAAGCATTATTTTTAAGAAAATTGTTTAAATATAACTGATTGTAACTTTCTTTAGTTGTTTAACACACAAGGAACATTTCATTGTTTTATATCATTTGAAATCATATTTTACACAATAATCTGTAATGTAATTATATATTTGTAAATATAATTTTCTGTTAAATGCAAGTGACATAAATATCATGTGTACATAAAATAACTTCCCTGTTATCAATAGGGAAGTTGTTTTACTTAAAAACCATGCTAAAAACTAACAGCACTGTGTGTGTTATTAAGTAAAAAGCAAAATAAGGTAAGATTAATAACTGATGAAAATTTTGTTTTTAATTTAGCTATCACTTCATATTTACTGGAAACTTGTGGAAAAATCTTCACATGCAAATTTTTTCAAAAAGAAAATTCTTTTGATTAGTTTTGTTAAGTGTATTATAACTATAACTTGTACCTAAAAACTACGCTAAGACAACACTTGTTGCTGTTTCATCAGTTTTTTTCTATGTCCAATTTGAAAATTTTTTATTTTAAAAATTTACAAGTTGTATATAGATTAAACTACTGCTACAAGTTATATATGGAGAATTGTAAAATGATGAAAATATTTTGTTTAGAAATGCTTTAAGCTTGTTTAATTTTTTAATCTTATATTTTTATCTCAGTTTCTTATTTCTTTGTTCTAATTCACACAGAATGACTTATCCACACAATTATGTTGAACCCGGATTAAAAAGTAAAAACCAAATCTTTCAAAAACAAATTTCATTATCTAATAGTAGTAAATCCATTATTTGAAATACTTTCAGATACTGGATTTACCATGTAATGAAAGCAAAAGTTGGTGTAACATTCTGGCATAATACATCAGATTGTAATAATGTGACCCAAAGTGTAAATCTTTTTTGTAAAGAATTAAGATTTACTCATCTGGTTTGAGTAAATCTTAATTCTAGTTAGAGGCAACTGAATTCTAAGTACTTGACAAAATATTAAAAATTTATCAGAGTATGTTTAGTATATGAAGTATAAATTATTTGTTTTGTCAAAAATTGGTTATGAAGAGTTTTAGTTCTAGAAATGGTGAGATTGTTCTGTCAATTTTTTTTTTTATCTAAACCACCATAAACACAAAATCAGCAATCTAAAATTTCAAGTTTCCTTTTATCAAATAAAAACTAAAGGAAACTTGCTACTTGTGAGCAGTATTCTGGTTAATTAACATTTTATAACTATATAACTGGTCTCATTAACTACTCATAAAAATTTGACTTAGATATTGAATTTCAATATGAAGTAAAAAAAACCTTCAGATTCATGCTCTACAATCAAAATCTCATTAACAGTTTTAAGGCAAACTGTTTAATTATTATAAATTTCCTGAAATAATAAAGAATTGACTGTTATACAAACTGTTATTAAATGGCTATTTTTAAGAAAAGAAAATATATCAACATACAGTATAAGCAACTATTGAATGTACTGTATAGTACCATTACATATGTTCATTCATTCAATATATTGTCTAAAGATATCAAGCTTTAAAAAATACAGCTTTATTTATATAATCTTATTCATTTTAGTATAGAAGCCACTCCTCAATTTTGTAAGAAACATTCTTCCCTAAATTTGTTAAATAGAAAAGTGATTTTTGTTTGGTTACTATTTTTGAAGTAGAAGAATACATAAATTTGAACAAGTAATCACATTATCCAGATTTTTATTTTGTGTAACTGTTCATTTCTAATAATTGAACTTTTACAATTGAGGAAGACTAGAAATGCAAAAGTTCTCTGGACAATATACTGTGTGTTTTGTCTTTGGGTAAGACATTGAAAAAATTATACCACAATAAAGGAAAAGGAAGTTTATTTACTGAAAATTATATATCTGAAGGAAAATTCTGTATGCAATTGCATGCTAAATCACATGCAATTGCATTATGCAATAGAAGTAATTAAAAAGAAAATGAAAATTTATTTGTAGTTTATTTTTGTAATTATTATTTTAATACTTTGCCTCTTATCCCTTGCTTCTAACTTTGAACACCTATAGTTTATATTTTAAAAAAAAAGCTGAAAATGTTTATTTCTTTATCTAAACATAGTCATTTTCAAAATATAGGCATGTTTGTAATATAAAAATGATAATTTTAATAGAATAAATGTTTTCAGCTCTTTTAAAAAACTAGATATATTTCATTATATAAAATAGATCTAATAACTACACTGGATTCTAAAATATAATAGCAATTCTATAATTTAAATAAACATTAATATGCTTGTAAATCATTTCTGATAATGCTAAAAATTACACAAGTGTGTTTTACAAGTTTATTGCTAAAAACAGTCATTATCCATTTTAATGAGTATATGTACAGTACAAGTAGTAATAATTACTTCAGCTGGTGAAATGTGTCAGTGATTTAATGTTTCATTGATGTGCTTCATCTCTCTAAATAGATGGTTTGCAATTCTTTTATCATAGATGCATATGCATTTTATATATCAGAATTTTGCTATTCTCATCTTCAAATGAACAGTTCTTTTCATTTTTTATATATATCCTTTCTTCTGCCCCCCTTATTTTACTGTCTTCTTTTCTCTGTAACTCTTAGTGCACACTTTTTCTTCTTACTTGGAGTCATTCTGTTGATAGTCATGATATTCTTGTTGCCTCTATTCTCTGCATTCATCCTTATCATTCCCTCAATTTCATCAATAGCATTCTTATAATTCAATGAAGACGATTGTGGAAAATGATCTCTCTTATTATTTTCCACTAATCAACTGAATATTTTAAAATAGTCTTTCATAACTAAAATAGTTGTATTATTCATTAGATAATATCTTCCTTTATTCCATTTCATATTAAAATGCATGACAAACATTTTTCTGTTGTACTGAATGAATTGTGACAAGTCTTTCTCCCAAAAGATTCAAGTTGTAATATTTAATTTTTCATTTTTTGAATCTATCTACACATTGGTTTTTTTAATTGGATTATAGCTACATAGATTAGTTTATTTATGGGATGATAAATCTTTTCTACTGAACTGTGCTTGTGTAGTGTAAAAGTAAAAAGAAGACTGCTTTGCTTGCTGCAAAGATTAGGGTAATAGATGTATGCTCTATTGATATGCAGTTATAAGCATTATATCTGTTGTGGTACCATCATCAGTATTTAATGTCAAATCTATCCCTTTGGAATCATTTAATTAAGTACTCAATAAAAAGTTGAATACATCATAAAAGGTTAGAGACCTCAAAAAATCCAGTATTTACCAGAATGTGTTGGCTTAAATGGGAAGATGTCAGGTTTACACTAATATTTACTCTTTTCTAAATAATTTAGAATATTTATTTTTTTACTAAAATTCAACTCTAGTTTTATTATTAAGAACAATTTTATACTCTATATTAATAATTCTATTACCTTAACACTGGATGCAGATATGATTGATTAAGAGAAATTTATTTGAATAAGTAACATATTCTTTGTCTCAAAACAAGAATAACCCTTGTGTAAGTTGTAAATAGCTTCGAAGTTATGCTGTTCTATAACCTTCAGATTAAAAAACTTTAGTACAGTAAGAGTAAGAAAAAATTTGCAATTTAGCTATATTTCTGATGGTTGTAATAAAATTATATCTGCATATAAAAATCAAAATATTGAAAATTTATTCTAAAACTCAATCAATAATGTAATAAAAAAGTTTTTCTAAATACAGTATATAGAAATTATTTCAGAGTCAAAATGTTTAGTTTTATTTTGCTGGAGTAAGTCAACACACTGGAATAAATAAATGCATAGAGTTTAATTACACTGAAATTAGCTTATTCAATACATTAAAAGGTAGGTGGTTTAAAGCTGTTGTATATTAATTTTAGAACAAGATAAAATGAAGGTAGTTACGCTGCTAAGTTAATTAAAAAACAATTTGATTTGCAAGCTGAAAATAATCCAGTGATTTGATTTCTAATTTTCTGTAGAAATTGGACTTTGCTTATATTGTTTACTAGCAAATTTACTTGGTGATGCTTGGGTTATCTTGGTGCTGGTGCATACAAGCAATATTTTGGAGTGAGGATGCACCATCATGTGAAAATATCACTTGTGTGCACCAGCACTAATTGGTGAGTACTGGCTCAATGCAGAGGCAGCGAGTTTGATGTGTAGTCCACTAGTACCTTGAATAGGTTGTCAATATACAGGTTGGATGCAATGTACTGCTGCAATAACTTGTTATCTATGCTTTGTTCTATTTGCTTCCATGTGCCTATGACACCACATCATATTGATGCTGCATCCTCATGTCAAAGTATTGCTCACATGCACTGACACTTAAGATCATCAATTAGGTAACAAAACTACTAGTAGTTTTGTTATTAATTAAATATTGGTACAGGTGGCAGTTGGTGATTACATACATTGAATAATTGCTTCCATTAGTGTCATAAATTTTGTTTTTCTTTTGATCTTCTCTTAAAACAAATTTTGTTTTATTTACATATTATCTTATAAAGACTTGTTCCATTGTATTTTACAGAAATATCCAGATTTAAAAAGTTTTCTCAAATGGCAAAGCTAGTAATTCTTGTCATTTGAAGAACAGTAGGCAATCAGCAACAAAGCAATTTAAAATAATAATATTTCAAGAGACATTATTTCTCATCTACTTTTAAAATGTTCACACATCACTAGGTTTTTCTATACACAAATAAACAAAAAGTACACAAATAAAAAAGAACTATTTCTTCCAATAATTCAGGGAAATTAAAAGATATTCAATGACGCCATCGATCCAAACACAAATATGTCTACAATGACCTTGCACGGATAAAAAAATCTCTCTTATTTGATTCTGGCCATGTTCTAACTTTATTAGATTTATGCTCTTAATTGAATTTAAACAAACATTAAAATAACAATTTGGCTTATAAATATGCAGTGATACTTAACAAATCAATTAATAGCATCTAAGATATAAAGCAATTTCATATTAGAGAGGTTGCGGCAATGTTTTCATTGTGAAGATGCGAACGTATGTTCAGCACCGCCTTCCTGTAAACCTAGAAGTTTGACAATGGCATTTGGAACATTGGAACGTCAGTGGAATCATGCTCAAACACCATTGTCAAATTTATAGGCTTACAGGAAGGCAGTGCTGAACATCCGATGTTTGCGTTTTCACAATGAAAACATCTGCCGCAACCTCTCTATTACCAAATACACAAATTACTTGCTGTTGTCTTGAGTTATCCATACCAGTAAATACAAACAGCTTTTCCTTTGTCTTAAATCACTAAGAGCATCTTTAAAAGTGTAAAACATATTTGTATGATGCAGATCATTGCCTGCCATTGTGGCTTTCTCAAAACCATCAAATTTAAGAAGGCTACTAAAGAACAAAATTTATCTACCAAGTAGTAATTGTCAAAATAAACTTTTATTCATTAGTATAAAATAATTCTAACCATGAGATTAGTTTCATTAAATTGAATTCTGTTGTAATGTTTTTGACCATTCAGATATATCTTTAGGATGAATAGAAGATGACCTTTAAAATATGGTGAAAACACCTTTAAAATATGGTGAAAACATTAAACTGAATTCTGTTTGAATATCACAGTTGTTTTATTCATCAATTTTGTTCCAGTTTTGGTTAATTTGTATTTTCTATATAATATTTTTAATATATACAGAGAACAAAGCTTAAAATTAACTACAGTAGAGCCTCGATTATCCGACACCTCGGTTAACCGACCGTCCTAGTCGGCAAATTTCAAATGTCCGCTAGTGATGTGGCATTACAATATTTGGCTAAGTCTTGGCTACTTTAATATTATTTTTACTTGTTTTAGCTGGCAACACTCATTCGACCATGAAAGGGAGCCAGTATTTAAACGAGGCTTAATTTTCTAATACAATAGCGACGATTATTATATTAAAAAATTTTTGTTAGGATTAACATCGATGAAAATTCAACGCGAAGTAGGTTAATAGTGATATTACTAATATACTAATTACATGGGATATAATAATATACTACACTAATAATGGATTTTTTCATACTTTTCGGTTATTCGACTTTTCAATTATCCAACCGACCCCAGTCCCCAATTGAGTCGGATAATCAAGGCTCTACTGTACTTGCTAATGGAATGAATAACAAATAGTGTCCACAATGACATCCTTTTGGGTAAATTTTTCTGTGTAATTTTTGATAAATGGATGAAGCATAAAAAATAATTTGCTGTTATTTGTTGCCATCTTGTTTTGCAAAATGGCAGTTGAACCAAATTTGCTATGCAAAAATAAATTTTTTGCATTTTGTTTTTGCTAGTAAATGCTTTTCTGAATCAAGTTTAGATTTCTTCATGGCAAATAAAACCTGAATGGTAGCTTTTTGAATTCATGTTATTGGGTATTTAAAAGTATTTAAACTTAATGTTAGAAAATAATACTGAGAGGGACTCTCCCATGTTTTTTCACTTTACTTATTTTATAGTTACTAGTGAGGTTGCGGCTGAAGTTTTCATCTCTAAAACATGAACATCAAGTGTTGCTTTTGCTTGACGTTCACATTTTAGAAATGAAAACTTTGGCCACAACCTCGCTATTGTTTTTCTATTACACTTCATTGTAGATATATGTTAATATTTAAAAAGTACCACCTATATCAGTGTCATACCTTCAATTGCTACTTAGAGGTATGAGATATAGAATGGAAAAGATTATATGAAGGTTTTTATTTTTATTATAAGAATTTTCTACTGCAGGTTATCTACAAAAATTACAGTATTTTATTAACTCTATAAAGAGATAAAAAGAACTGATGCTATGATTGATAAGCAATGAAATATTAAGTGTTTTCAGACCAAATATAAAACTAAAATGATCTGAAGGTACTCAGTAATAAAAGCAAAAGTGTTTGATTTATTCAGTTAAGAATGCATTTTAAAAATTAATAATTGAGAGAAATATTGGCAAATACATAGTCAAGGAAAAAATACTGCACATACAAATTATTTTAATTCTTCAAATAATCTAAAACTGATGGAAGTTTTGGTTAAACTGCTAAAAATGCAATATTGGTAAGGCAGCAATCCAAA